TGGTCTCAGCCTGCCTGTCTCTTAGAGCCCAAGTCGTACAAACAGTTGAACAGCATGAGCTAGCTCTCTGAATTAATAGTCGTTTGTCTCTGTTTGTACAAGCTTTGTATCATCATGTCCCCCTCTCTCTCACACACTTGACCTTGATTGGCTGGAAGATTGCAATTAGGAAGTGATTCCCGCAGCGGGCAGCTTGAGGTCAGGGCTATGAGGTTAACTCTGTTGACAAAGTCTAATTGGCCTTTCCTTTTGCTGCATCTCCACAGAGTCCAAACTAAAGCTGTTTTTAGGAGATGGAGTAGTTTCTGGGTAAGGGGCAACACGTGGACTTAAAATATTTCCTGATTAAACTTAGGAAAAGAAACATTAGTGGCCACAGATGAACAGTGTTGTATGCACAAAAAATGTGTAAACCATGTTTCATGGTTGCATCAGAATGTATGAAAATAAATGTTTAAATGTCCATACTCACAACTTATTTCTTGATGTCAGTTTTGTAGATGCTGTTAAAGCCACGCTTTATTCCTTGTAAATTGGGGCGTATGAAGGAAAGGTGTGCAGAAACGTGTGAGCATCGTTTTATAAATCTGAACATTTTTGTGTGTACACACTAAAATTGGGCAAATTCATATCGTGTGCAATTTAATTGTCAGAAAAAAGGTGAACTCTTAATATTTGCCACTTTGCAATAACAGCAATTAGTTCAACGTGATTTTTATGTGCAATGCACTCTCACTATCAGCCGTGCATGTGAGAACATATTTAGCATGTTAAATTAAGTTTGATGATTGGTAGGTATAATTTTAGTCAAAAACAAGCAAGTTCAGTTGTCCTCTATTAATCATCATGCTAAATGCCACGACTAATTGTGATTTTTCTTTTTTGTCAATGTCATGCAACACTAACACACACTTTACAAATTGTGTCCAAATGCCAATTTTTGATATGAAATCAACACATTCCTTCATACACAATGCCCCTGGAGTGGTAAGTATCTTACCACTTTCTCCAGCAAACCCTCATGCACAGACACGCATGTAATTCTTTCTATTACCCTTTCAGACCTTCCCACTAACCCTCACCCTTCTCACCCACCCTCTGTTCTTGCCTCAGCTCCTTTTCGAGTGCAGAGACACGAATCTCAGTAGGCGGCCATGTTTTCCCTGTAAGGCATGCCAGCAGGCTAAAACTGTACTGGAGTCATCTCTCATTGCTGTCAAAATATCATCGTTGGATTAACCTCCCCCATTGTTCCCGTCGTCCTCCCCCATCTCCTCCCCGTTCCCCCTTTCACCTATAGTAACGCTGCAGCAGACAGTGGCTCTTGGACCCAGGGCAAAAATGGCGCAGAAAGGAAAATAGGAGTGAAGAAGAGAGTGCAAGAGACAGAACTAATCTAATTAAAAGTGATTACAGAGCAATTAACCACAACAGGGGTTTTCTGAGTGGGGTCGGTGAGTAATGGGGGGGGTGGGGGGGGGGGGGGGGTTTTGATTGGGGGTGCGGCTGAATGAAAGTTCGCAGTTATGAGTTCAGACAGATAAGGTGCTAACTGAATTTACTGTATTTTTCCTTCAGGGAAGTCTCGCTCAGCCATTCACAAACTGTTTTGAAAACTAGCACTGTTTTATCTAAACAAAGTAAAGCACTGGAAAACAATATACCGTAATCATTTAAAGGAGTAAGGTCTGGTTTTAGTTGTGAAATTTTAGAGTTGGGCAGTGTACCGGCTCGTGCTGAAAACTGTTCTTCATTGTCATAATTACAGCAGATTTCTGAATACCGACATACTGGTTTAAATGGCCTGAACACGTTCAGAACATTATATCACGTTAACAAATAAATTGGTTTATGGGGGACTCTTTTCTGTGCAGCAACACTGAACGCACATGCAGGAACTATCAGCACCCAGGGCAAGCTAGTGTCGTTGTGAGAGCAGCTTTCTCAAAGCAGGTGGCAGGTGGCGATTTCACCACTTCTAATGGACTGACAGAAACAAAAAAAATCTAGTTTCATCATCACTGAATGTAGTACACCTCTTCAGTGACGTGCACAGATAGATTTTATGCGAGACGTGAATTTGCCCGATAATGAGCTTTGCTCAACCCTCCTCCTTCACAATGCGCCTGCCCTCGTGTGCCCAAAATGTGTGAATGTCTACATCCAGGCATAGAAATGACATGTAGAGGAAGGAAACAGCGACACAGACAGAGGTGCAGTAAAAGACAAAAGTCAAGAAATAGTTTCTGTGTTGCAGAAAGAGAGTAACTTCAGCTGACTGTGGTTTGCTGTTCAATAAGCAGCATTATTTACATTTTAACATCAGCTGAGCTGTGATGAAAAAAAAATAGTGATACCAAGATAATTATTGAAAATACTGTGATATAAAATTTGGATCATACCACCCAGCCCTATGTTTATATATTGGGGACATAAATTCCAGTAATACCACCCACCGTTTTAATGCTTTTATTTCTTTTTTTCCCATTTGCAAACATGCCTGGTTTTGATTTCTATCATTGGAGAATAATTTATGTAGTGTTTAAGTGTTAGTTACTGATGCTGCATTTTTTTAAACCCAAAAACACTTCACAACTTACACTTAGGAATGTGTTATATGGCAAAAAATTCATATCACGATATACATTACGATGAGTGGGGGTAACAATATATCTCATAATATAAAACTTATAATAGAAAATAAATAAATCACACATTGAGTGGAATAAATATGTATAGGTAAAAAAATTTAGACCTTAAAATCTCCTTTTTAAGGGACACTTTAAAGTCTCCCATAAAAATATAAATTTAAGGGAGATCTACCTACACACACACACACACATGTATGTATGTATA